AGCCATTCAAATGGAACTTGTACTTATGTACGTATGGCCGGTCTAAATATACTTTGCACAACTGTATGCAGTCTCGTTCTCGTACAGTCGAATGAAGATGAAGCAGAGATCTGTTGCAGTCAAGTCAAACCACATAATTTTTTACCCATCTTTGGGTTGGTGGGTGTAATTAGGCAGGTGAAAGAAAGGGAAGGTTAAAGTATACTAGACATATTTTACTGTACAATTTGCTCTTAGTTGCCGAGATGTAGAGAGTTATACGTAGCGGAGATAATAGTGAAACCAAACATGTACATGTTACTAAACGTAGTCCTATCTGGGATTTCTATTTTCGTGAGGTATGTACAAACCTTCTGATTGTGGATGATTTTCCGTGACACGATACTCAATTCAGTCACCCTTTCGATCAAACTGCTTGTAAAAAGTTGAAATTAGATATAATGTAAACACAGCTTATTTTTCTGTACAAAGATTGAAATTGAAAATATAGGGCTCAATTTATTATTGAACTCTTTTTACATATAATCTGTTTAACGAGGGTTTGACTTTTTAAAGAATTTTACGGAAAAACGAGAAAATTTCGTATTTTATCCACGTATGCGCCACCTAAAAATAAGTACTTATACTTAGCTTATCCACGTTCACAATATTGACTCGGGAATAGATAATTGAGCATAAAAACAAACCAGTTTGTAATTTAATTTCACGCATTAATTATGCCGGTGATGAAATTGGAAAGGGAAAATTAGAGCGGCGTGTACGGAAGACTGAAATTTTTCTGCCCGGTGGATGATGAAGATGAGAGAGACGCGAAACATCTGCATTTGCTCGGTACCTCGTCTCGTCGGTCTTTTTTCGGATTGAATTTCATACATTTTTTTCTTGTCACTGGTGAAATAAGTTGGGCAGTTGGGCATGCTTTTGTTATTGAATAAATTGAATTACTTACTTACCTGTCGGGTAAAGTAAAGTGAAGGGAATGCAGAGGCACATGGATAAAAAGACGTGCTACATAAAATGTAATTGTGGTGGTTTTAAGGCTTGAGGTGGATTTGTTTGTATGCATAATTTGGAATTTAGGGAAATATTTACTAAATGGCATTGATCCGACCTCATGCCATTTATTGGTTTCCGTTTGCAGAGGACATGTGCATTTTCCTTAATTTGTATGTACATCGGTTGCTTGAGGAAATGTCCGTGTCTACTTATCTTTGACGTGAAGGGAGCAAAGGGTTTATTTTATTTTGGGTGGAAGTAGGAAGTGGATTGGATTATGCAGCAGTACAAATGCGTTCTTTTTGGTTGCCCTGATTTCGGAAATTTCAATTAGGCTGTGCTGGATGGAATTACTATGAAAAAGAGAGAGAAACAGCTGAATATCTAAGTCCGTCCAGTCCACGGATTTATGTATGAAATAAGTTTTACATTATGGTCGGTTGACTAAGAAGGGAAACGACGATAAGTTCAGTTCATTTTAAGTCCCTGGGGCAGATTTTGGTTGGATTTTCAATGAATTTGTAAGTGCTTCATTTTGGGGTCTTTAAGAGGAGGAATTTGTGAAGTTGGTAGTAGCAGATCGTCGTCATTCAAAGTTGTAAACGTTAAAGAATGAATGTGAAATGAATGAAAGAGGAGCTGGCAAGGTGTCTCACCTTTCTCTATTTCTCTTGTTGACACCGGTTTAAATTGTTTTGGAGAATTGAGATTTTGTGAAAGATTCCTTAAAACGATACACACTAGCAGATGCGCCATGAACGTGTTAAGAAGTGATACATACGTAGCATCATTTCTTTGTGTATGTATCAGTTTCTTTAAGGACTGATCTGTCTGATAAATTATGTGTATGTATGTATTTTTGGGGATTTAACTATATTTATTTCGTGAATGATTTGATTTCAATCAGAAAATCATTTGGGCGATTAATTCTGGGAGAAATTTCGCTAAAAGATTTTATGAATTGCATCTGCTTGTTTCAAACAAAAGTTAGTAATTCTAAAAGTATGAAGTGTCCTCGAAATTAGAAATTGGTTTTTTTAGTCTTCCTATTTTATTTTGGGTGTATTTTTGAGATTCGACTTGAACTTGATACTTGACCTAAATATAGCTACGTACATATGTTCCGTACTATGCATGATGAAAAACAAGCCCAAAAAGTGTAAGCAACTGGTTTACCTTGCCACGCGAAGAGGCAGCTCTAATTTTTCTGTCGAATTTGTGTGTGACATGTGCTACGCGAGAGGAAACAAGGTGCCTTTAAAATTTTGAACTTGAGGGCTGCACACATTGTTTAAAATGGATTTTTATTTAGAGCAAGATGATCCTAGATATTTATAAAACGCGGTTGGAAATAAGTCCAGCTTTTGATTCATATATTTATAACAATATTTTTCGATATTATTCCCATAATGACATCATCTTCGGTAATATTTAATGGCATTGTAATTTACATGAATACCATTTCGTTTCTTTATTTATGCTAATATGTCTTGATATTTCCAATAATCACATCATTTTCGGTAGTTTATATAAGCAATTTGCATAAATAACATTTCATTTGCTTAGGTACGTACATAGTTTTGTTATTTGTCAAAATATGAATTGTCCCCTTGAAGTGGATTGTTACATGGACATAAAGAGGTAAAAAGAGTGAGCTTTGATATTATTTATGTCACCGTGGTAGGTAGTAGGTAAGCTGGCAGGGATGTGAGGAAGCAAAAAAAGGGTTAAGGTATTTCTTTGCCAGGTGCCACATCCCCTCATTCTTTTTGCAGTAGCCGTATTTGTAAGAAGAAGAAGCAACATTAAATAAGTGAAAGGGTTAACCAGCTCTACTTCTTCTTCTCCAGTCAGTTCTTCGGGTGGGCTGGCACGCGTGTCAAAGAAGCGAAGAAAAGAGACGAAACCCCGCTTGTAAATAAATTGATCTCGTTACATCCTGAACACCTTTCCGTCCATACAAGATGGCATACACACTGTACACGTGAGATGCGGGATGCTGCGTAAAAAAATTAGGGAGCCGGGAAGAAGACGTTGATCTTAAGGGAGGCAGGGAGGGAGATAATAATGAGAGATTCCTTAAATGAAATGAAGTGTAGGTACGAAACAAAACAGGGTCTGGTGCGGGTACTTACGATACGAGTGAGCAGATAGGAAGGAAAAGCCTTCTCGTATTATCATTATTATTAGTATATTCTTCTCTTGTCGGACGATCTTGCACGAGTTAAAGGGAGCAAGTTTACGAACTGAACCCAATGTGCCACACCGACGTGGATTGAAAATAAAATGATGCCAACTTCAAGAAGAAGGTAGCTCTGGATGGGCAGGTGTGTACTGTGTAGGCTCGGCTGGAAAAGTGTGTAACAGCAGCAGCAGCAGCCTGAATGTGGGCTAAAAAGACGGACCTATTATCTAATGAGAGAGAGAGATGGATGGCTATAATCCGATCGGAAAAGGAGACACGCGATAACGCAGAGTTATTAAAGAGATGCTTTTGTCTTAAGGGAAATGTTGGCTAGTTTTTGCATGGAAATCACAAATGGGTCACAAAATCTGAGCTTTGTGGTTGGTGAATTTGTGTGTTTGCACGTGAAAGTACCACCAGATTTTCCGGGGAGGAAGACAACTTTGGTCTTCTTCCGTGTTTTCCATTGGGACGCTTAAGTGGTCCTAAGGAGAATAACAAATCAGCTTTTAAAACTTGAAACTCGCTGAAAGTCCTGGAAACAAAATCTTAAGCTTTTCGTAAAATAAACCCTCTTAACCAACTCAACTGTTCAAACAGTTTGCAAGTAAGTAGTACCTTTAAAGTACGTACATAAGTTTAGTTTATTCATTGAATAAACTCACCCACCATCACCACCACCACTGCTGGCTGCCAAATAAATAGATCAGGTTACAAGTTGAAGGAGCAGCAGCCGTACGGCATAAGGTCATCATCACATTTAAGTTAAGTAGTGACTGGACACATTGTCTTGCGTTTGGTTAAGTTTTCTACCTACCACATCCAATCCGGTATGTTCATCTGGCCGCGGAAGCCGTGGGGACATGTGGGGACATTAAAATTGTAGGATAGAGGGGAGTGAAGGGTTTATGAGATGATGCGGGCATCGAATAACCCTGGGGGCATTGTCCCTCTGCGTCCCCACGCTTCCGCGGTCACAGTGTTTTGTGCAAGTCGGAAATGCAAACCGGAACATTACTCCTCTGCTGCTGGTGTTTCTCTGTCTCCTATCATTACCTCGGCTTGTTTGTCTTTTTTCCTTGGTCAATAATGTGCGAGACAGATTGGACTTGCACGTCATGCCGGTTCAGTAATAAGGAGTAAATATGTGTGTATGGCACAAGCCATCTGCACCTTCTTTAAAGTTTAAAGACGTACTCAAGGGTATAATATAAAGTGACGGACGGGGTTTGATGGTGCATGTGTGTGTCCGAAGAGGATGGATAAATAGTTAACCCTTGCGGTTCAAGTTTAAGGAAAAGGTCGCGTCTCATCTCCATTAGACACCGTTTTTGTATTAGGAGAGAGGAAATAGCCATATTTTGACTGCGTTTTGTGTGGACTTTTCGTTGACAAAATGACTGTTGGACTTTCCGGAAACGTTTCCAGGGTCAGATGTGGATGCTGTTGGTGAGAGGTGACCAAGTGTCCACCAGACGACCAAGTGTTGCAATATGTGATGAGATGTGGTGGGTACTTAACTTACTATAAATAGATCTGAATAAAGAAAGATGTTTTCTTCCTCGGAGGAAAGAAGATTCTTCTTTGATCAGATGGTCGCGTGCAGGAGCAACTGCTGAAAAGAAATGTGTCCCCTTATTAGTTGTTCTCGAAATATAATGTGAACCGAGGCAGATGTGCTGTGCGGCTTGCTTATTAAATAAAACTGGATTTATTTATGTAGGAAGAAATGATGATATTTGCTTGCTATATATAGGTTTTTGTAATCTTTTTTTGCGTAAAAGTGTAATAACTTAAGATTTATTTGGGTAAATTGCAGACGCCTGTTCCAGTCGATCCACACCAAAACCCCGGCCACCAAGTCCGACGCTGAGGCCGAATATTACCATTCAGACGTACACTTGTCCCCCAGGTAGGAACTTAACAGGGTTAAAGAGGATTCGATTTAGATATTACACGTAAAAAATATGTGGATCATTTTTAATGTGAATTATTTCTTGTTTTTTTCAGAGTATGATGCTCATTACTGCTTAAATGGTGCTACCTGCTTTACAGGTATGTACTAAAAATAATTATAATTAAATATTTAAATAGTACGAGATACATGAAATTATGCAAATTTGTGTCACGTGTACTAATAATATTATGTTATTTGTCTCTTTACAGTCAAAATTGGCGAGAGCATACTCTACAATTGCGAGTAAGTTGTTGTTCAATTTCAATAGTTTAGTAACTAATTCTGAATATTTTTTGAAAATCGTTCTGAAAAAAATTCTGAAAATTGAGTTGAAATCTGCTGCATTTTATGATCCGAAAGTTGTTTGGTTATTTATTAGAAATAAACAAGTAGTAGTGTTTATGTACATACACGTAGATAGTTATGCATTTATGTACATAGATATTCACTGTGAGTGAATGTTTGCTGCCACTTGAGCCAGGATGGTTAGTTTATAGACTATGTACAAATACAATAATATTACGATTATGATACCTTTCGTTATTATTGTTATTGTTGAAGGTGTTGGGTGAAATTCTTGGCTGGCACAGGTTTAGGTTTGGGTGAGTGAGGGGATAAGTGAGGTTAAAGAGATTAAGGTTGGAGAAGGAATGGAATGTGCATTATTTTATTATTATCGCCGTGGAATGGTGGACCATTCAGAAGTCAAAAGTCTTCTATGGAGTCAGACCAAACAAATTATTTTGTATTTCAAAGAAACGACGGACAATAAAAGGGTGGAATTTCCTTAATCCGAAAAATGGCATGCAGATCATGTCTTCTTGTCTTCCTCCCATTGTTGACGGGAAGTAATGTTGAACTTGATGAATTGCTTGTTACATATACAAAAGTAGAGTAGAGATATTGAGGGAAATCTGGAAATTTTGAGAAATTATTTTTGACATTATTCTCTGTAATTCTGTTGGAATTTGGAAAAAAAAATATTTGTATGTAAGAAATTCTGTATTTTGAACCAGAAAAAAGTAAGCTTGTTACAAATAATGGATCAGTTTAGTTTCATAAACAGAGGGCAGATATATATTTATTTATGAAAAATTGCTGAAATGGGTGTTTAATATTTAGGAAAAGGGAAAAATATTTACGAAATATGTACCAAAAACCATACAAATATTTAGGGATTTTTTTTGCAAAATTTGTATTTCTGAATTTTTATTCTCTGGATTTTTTGTGGTCCAATTTCTTTGAGGGAAAAATTTTGTCTCACATTTTGTTGAAATATTAAAAAAAAAATATGTAAAAGATTTCCGTATTTTTTTAAAACAATAGTGGAAATATTTGCATGTCTGAAAACCTAGAAATATGCAACAATACGTAAAAATATTTTGAAATTTTTGTAATCTTCGAAAACACACCGACAAAATTTGACCGTCACTAATCATCAAATGAAAAAGTTGAAAATATTTAAATCCATATCCGCCCTCTGTTCCTAAGTAAATCGAGAGAATTAATAAATATTATTTACTTATTTTACACCTGCACTGGTGTACTTATCCTTAATTAATTGTATAAATGATGATGTGTGATTTCGTAGCTCGAGGGGAATTACCGGTCCAATTTGCCATTTCTTTTTTATCTTCCTCTCTCCACATGACCAAACATGAAATTTGTACCGGTTTAAGAAGAGTTGGATTAAATGTTTTATTTTCTGTTATTTTCTATTCAACTGCTTTACTTGCCTGGGTCATGCCTGGGATGGGTTAAAATCTTTTCCCTTTATTAGTTGCACTTGAACCAGAAACTATGTATTTATCTGGTTGCAACCACACTTCTTTGGGAACGTCCGTATATTACGTTATCAAAAAATAACAATTTTTAGACCATGTTAAGCTCTAATTTTTAATTTTTAGAGTCATGTTAAGCTTGCTACGAGCGACCCAAACCCGCATTTTTGATGCCGTAATATATGGACGTTCCCTATGTACGTATTTAATACATGATAGTCATCACTGCATTCAGGTGCATCTTTTCTTAAAAATTGCACTGTCTGAGGAGTGATCGTGATGCGAATTATTTCATTGTTATTCAGGCCAACAGCGCAGTGTGAATGAAATGAAGCCAGGTTATGTAATCAGGCAGCAGTTGATGAACATTGACGGCAGAAGCCGTGGGGACATGTAGGGACATTAACATTGTAGGATAGAGGAAGGAGGTGTTTATATAACATGGGCAGATGATGGGGATATCGAATATCCGTGGGGAAATTGTCCCTCTGTCCACACCCTTCCGCGGCCACTGTAGTTAAAGAATTGTAAAATTGCAAGGTATAAATGTTGCAGGGAAAAGAAATGCATTTTACAAAAGGATCTAACTAAAGTAGTAATTTAAATAGGAAATCATGCACGCATTTCACCTTGGGAAGAAGCAATGCAACATTGTAAAATAAGGAAATGACTTGGATTTTAGTGCATGCATGCAAATAAAATGTAGGGATTTGAATATTACCAGTTCCAGTCTGATGATTACATTCGTGGAAATTAATTCAAATCAAAATTTCTAACAGTAAATAAAGCAGTCTTTTGATTTGTATGGTGTGTAATTGTACAAAGATTTTCTAAATAAATGTACATATTTATATAACAACTAGATATTTGTAATGATGTCCCAATTTTTGTACGAAGTGATCCAGGCGTCACTTATCCTTAGAAATCTGGGATAGTATGGTACGCATTGATTTCTAGGTATTAAAGTTACTACCGTTTGGTATTAAAATTGTATCGGTCTGAAAAAATTTTAATACGGAACACTTACTACGGGGTATTACTTATCAATACCACTGTGGTTGAGTCATAGATATATGAATACCACTTGGTATTATTTTAGTACTGGATTTCTAACTAAGAGTGTATCTACATATACTACTACACTCTTAGAAAACTGGTATTAAATCATTACTGACCGGAGTACATATATGTACAACTCTACCTGCACTGGTAGATAATAACGGGCATTATAGTTTAGTAATGTTGCGGCAATTAAAAATTTACCACTCAGTAACAAACCACTACCAATCCGGAAGTTGTTACCAAATCAATACCAGTACGGAATACCAGAATTTTAACAGCATACTACTTTTACACCGGTGTATTTGTGATTAAGTGTCAATTTATGTATGTTATGTATCTTTTGGGTAATCGTTCGGTATGTTTTTGTACGTATCGATGTGGTTAATGGGTTGCTTGGATTTGGTAGAGTAGAGTCGAAAGGTTTAATAGTTTTTTTTGGGCCAGACATCTTCTCGTAGTAAATAGTTTCGTGTTGCTGCCGTATTTCACACAGGAGGTGTGTCAACTATCAAAATCTTGGTTATATATTAGTCCCTCTGAGCCGCAGAGTGAAAGAAAATATGATTTAACTCTGGTTTAAAAATAGCTCTCACAATTTCCATTTACCCAATGAGTTATTTGCAAGAGAGAGATTTTGGAATTTCTTCGATCCCGTCAGAATTTTTAATGCATTTCTAATAAGTTATTGATGGTAAGGATTTCATTTAAAGAATGTTAATTGAGAAAGTGGTAGAGGATTTTAAAGGTGTTTGTATATATACACAAGGTTTTGTACAGGACATAGATTTTGAACTTACTATTTAACACTTTTGGTAAGAATTAATAGAGTCTAAAATTAAAATTGGGTAATAAGTGTGTCAAAACGTTGTAGTAATTAATTAATCGCGATTTTTTTTTGCAATTTACAGGTGTGCAGAAGGGTATATGGGGCAAAGGTGCGAATTCAAGGATTTGGATGGTTCCTACTTGCGTAAGTTTTTCCTATTTTTTTTATCTTAAGAAAAAACGTCATAATTATTACCCGAGTAGACATCACTGTGTCGAATTCTGCAGTAATCGACGAAAGCTGGATGCATATTGAATTTTGCATATATATTTTTTGCGTATATAATCCTGCAGGAAATTTCTATAGGTTTTATTGTGCAGAACAGTATGTGCATAATTTTGCTTAGTTTTCTGTAGAAATCGCTCTGCACAAAATTGGGCCAAATTTCTGCAGTAAAGCAGCTCAAAAATTCTTACTCTGGATAACTCTTACGTTTCTAATTTTCTGTATAAATAGCTCTGGATTAAATGTTTCTGTCCAAAATTTGGCAAAATTTCTGCAGAAAAACAAGCCTTAGGAAGAATCTTCCATGAGAAAATTGCTCTTCAAAAGAATGATGATCCTCTAAAATAGTGACATTGACTGAAACATGTTTTTTTCTCTCTCTTTGTTTATTTAGGCACATTCCATAATGACTTTTATGTAGTTTTTCTAAAGCGATGAAAACTTGGTTTTATTTTATTCCTCCATCCATATTACTTATTTTGTGGTTGATCTGTTTGTCTACTACACGCAGCCAGCCTTTTTTATTTTATGCGTCTGTCCATCCATCCAGATGGAGAAAGAAAGAAAGAAAGAAAACGTGTCAAAAGCACGACTGTTTACATTAATACGTAGGTTTTCTTCGGCTCATAAAAGCAAAGCGAACATTAAATGCTGCATCTTATCCGTATAAAAAAAGGATAAGGTCCAAAACTAACTTGATACTTCTTCATTCATAAATGTTTTAACAGAGAAAAAAGGGTTACATACACGATATTATATTACACTTATGTATTATACTTATGAGTGAGTGAGTGAATGAATGAATTTCAAGAAGAAGAATAATGTAGTTGTGATGTCTTTAGTTGTCGCCGACAGTAGTTTCTTACGGTTGGGTTGACTGTTTCAAATTCAAATAATCAATGCTCCGAGACGTAGATATACATACATTCTTTGGCTCGTTCTTGCAGTGGCCGTGGAAGCGTGGGGACGGAGGGACAATGTCGCGTGGGTTTGATTTCGTTTTTTTTTGGGGGGAATGGGGGAATAAAATTCCGGCAAAATAATCATGACGGACCCTTAAAAAATGTTTGCACCATAAATCGAACCCACGCGATGTCCTCAGCATCTGTTCATGCTATTTCAACCCCTCCGTCCCTTATTTTATGCGTCAATGTCCCCACGGCTTCCGCGGCCACTGTTCTTTCTATTTCATTAGCTTGGTATTCTGTCGAGGAAGAAGAGACATTCTGTGGTGGGATGGAAAATAAGGAGTCATAAAATGCAATAAAAAAGTTGTGGAGGAGGAAAAGGATAATGCAGGGACGCATGTTTATTTAGGTGGATAAAAGCAATTACGTATTAAAAAGCGTGTGTCCAGGATTAAAGGAATTTTTGAAAAGATATGTTTCCAGCTTAAAATAACGTTATTGTTTTTTATATGATTTTCAGCTTCTAAACAACGCGCCATGCTGGAACAAGCGGGCGTCAGTGGGGCCGTGGCTATCGTGATTATCTTGGTCGTGATAGTGTTGGGCTACACGTATGTGCGACAGTCGCGAAGAAAATCTTTGGCTAGGTAAGAATATGTCATAATGCAAGCGAAATTATTTGCGAAATATTTGCATAATTGAACTTTGGTAATTTCAGGCATACACGAGAAGCCGGTGATCAAGTGGATGGTTTCGTCGTTGAGAGGCGACCGTTCAGTCAATACTACTATAATAATCCTAGCATTAGTATAAGTCAAGATTTGCACCAGCATCAATCCGTGAGTTTTTTAACAAGTGTATAATGATCAGAGGGCGGATATGTATGTGCGAAAAATAGATGAAATATGTACTCAATGTTTATGAACAAAAACGCCAAAATATTTACGAAATATGTACGAAAAAGACACAAATAAGAATTTCCGCAAAATTTGTACTTTTGAATTTAGTACGTTAGATTTTTTTGTGGTCCAATTTGTGTTAGGAAAAAAATTTCGTTTCATATCGTTGAAAAATTTATAATTTTTGAAAAACAATATCTGAGAGATTTCCGTATTTTTCAAATAATATCGGAAACATTGATATGTCAGGAAAGATAGAATTATGAAGAAATATTTTAAAATTTTTGTGGTTTATCGGCCCTCAGCAAATGAGATAGTTGTAAATAAATACATATCCACCCCCTGATTATCCCTGAAAAAGTGCACACATTGCCAATTTCTTTGTACTAATTCCTCTCCCCTTAACAGAGATCGAGCCGAGGTGGAACCTTGTACAAGGTGGACGTCCCCCATGTCTCAGGAACATCATCCTCACCTCCCCCAAAACCTTCAGGGTCATCATCATCACCGACAGGGCAGGTGCCGCTGCACACAACGAAAAAATCCACCAAGCCACCAGATCCTCCTCAACGGCTAACTTAACTTTAATTATACTAGCGACTCAATTTATTTAATTTGTCCAGTCTTATTACTTAATATTACTGTCCGTATCTGCGAAATGTTGTAGTTCAATACATATTGAAGTTCCGTTCTCTTAATCCATACGAGTAGCCTAAGTCCAAGTAGGTTCTAATTCTAGTTCAACCAATACACAGTAAAAAAATTTTTGAATATTATTTTACCTATTATTAGTCTTTAAAAAAATCCACAAACAATGTACCTTAATTATTAAATACATGTCCCTACACAAGTTTTTTAGAATACCTTTCAGATCAAAAAATTTTAACTCGGTGAGTTTTAAAGCAGAATGTTGTGAAATAAATAAATAGGGAGGAATTCTGTCATTAAATGACACTAAATTGTGGCTCTTTAACATTGAAGCCACCCTTATCATTTGTTATTCTTGAAAAGTAATTTTTGAAAGATGATATGCAATACACCGTTTTTGTATTCAGCATGTTTTTTTAAGTATCTCCGAGTAAAAGAGGCTGGTCCTTGCAAGTTTTAACTAGAATTATCCACGTAGTGTTATTGACTAGTTTTGTAACTTTGAATAATAACTGATAATGAGGTATTTATGCAGGTATTTAGGTAGGTAGAATAATAGTTGGTGTGTGATACAGCTAACTGACTTATCTAAATAGACTTGAATGGTATGTATTTAAAGTTAAATATTTGGTGTCATAATAATCATAAGAATATTCCTTGAGTGAGGTATGTAGACAATTATTTATTTCCGACTTTACATACACCATGAGACAGCTAGCATTTTAGTGGCCGCGGAAGCTGTGGGGACGTTAGAATTGTGGGACAGGTTTGGATAAGATGGGCAGATGATGGGGACATCTAAAAACCGTGGGTCATTGTCCCTCTGTCCCCACCCTTCCGCGGCTACTGGCTAACACAGGTAGTGCTGATGTGTGTATTTATGTAGCAACGAGAGAGGAACTGGTTCAAAAAAGATGTTGGCCATAATTTGACTGATGAACAAATTTTTCTACATTATTTCTAGTTTTTAAGAATCTACCTATTTATGAAGTAGTGGGATCTTTACCTAGACTGATAAAATATATATAGAGAAATGCACCAATCAAAAATGGGAATCAGGACTGAAAAAAAGAAGAAGAATAATCCCATTCCATATCTTCAAGAATAACTTGCAATTTTGGAATATTTCCTTTTCCTCTTTTCTAAAAATATTTATGTATATGTAGCTCGTGCAGAGTTATGCATATAGATAGATTATAAAACAACGTATAGGTTTGCTGTTTACTTATCAATTCTGCATTCCGATAACTGTTTATGCATCAAAAATATATCAAAATGTTCCTGTAATCGCACAAACAAATTTAGCTGATCACAAAAGTTTTCTGTTTCTGGGCTTCGTAATTTTTTGATGAAATTTACTCGCATTTAGACCCACTTGTACTTCTCATTAGGAACTTTTTCATGCTCCGATTACCTATTTATGATTGTTTACTACTTCTCAAAATTGATTGATGCATCCTAAAACTAGGCATTTTGTAGTCATATTTGCAAAGTATGGGCTAAAACAACCAATAATAATTACATAACTACATAAGAATTTGAAAATTTTATTCTCACATTTTTTGGTGGTTTTTGAGTATTTTTCACCTCGAATCATTCCTAAAATTGTAAACTTTTCTTCGATATTTTATTCACTAATGAAAAAACTTAGGACTATAAACTACTCCTTAATCTACCTCGTTTTAATTAAGGTGCAATCTTATAATTAGTCGTTATATACATAAAAGAGCCTTCATCTGCTGTCTTACTAAATACCTATTCCTTCCAGGCTGTTCCAAAGTATTATTATTATTATTTAAAATATTTACCGATTTTGTTTATTACAAGATATTTTGTATCTCACGAAGGAGAGTGTTCCATTTGTACTGTTATTTGTATAGTAAATTTATTTATGTTATTATATTATAAATGTTTAGTTAAAAGAATGTCATATTCATAAAGTGACAGAGATCATGAGAAAGAAAAGAAATAGAAATGAAGGTATTTTTTACAAATGATTTTTGTTTTTTTGTTTTTTTATTTTCTTGCACATTTTCATCAGAGTGTAGTGGTCGCGGAAGCCGTGGGGACATCGGGGGCATTAAAATTCTAAGGTAGGATAGGGGGGGGAGGGGTTTATGGGGATATTGCCCCCCTGTCCCCACACGCTTCCGCGGCCACTGAGTCATCATTCCATTTAATTTTTTATGATTGATTTCATAGTTTTCTTAACTCAGGGTTTGATTTATAACTATATGAAAAAACCGTACGCACACAACTTGTACTTGTACTAAAGTAGATAATCATTCTATTTATCACTTCCTGAAAACATATTCCTTCAGAATTTGTAGGAATTTACATAAATACGTAGAGTAATCGAAATTTGAAGCTTGATGCTACAAATGTTGTGGAAAGGTGGATTTTGATCTTGGAAATAAATAAATATTGATGAAATGAATATTATTATAGAAAATTTGCATAAACTTTATTATTCACGCATCTCTTGAAATTGATGGCTGGAATTCACGCCCATTTGTCGCCTTGAACGGATTTTGACCAACTATTTTCTATGCCAACGCTGTCGAAAATTTTGATCTGGGAGCAAAAAAAAAGTCTACACGGCAGCTAAAATTTTTACATTTTTAAGAGTACAAAGTGTTTTTCAACTGACGCCTGAGAATCTGACCGAAAAGCAGCCTGACTGAATTACGAATTACTAACTAATCAACCTCAATCAAGTGAAATATCTAACTACATCTCTACCTAGTGAAAAAAGTCGAACGGAAATCCTACTTTTGGGTAAGGAAAAGAAGATAAGCTTGCACTTTTTCGATTTTCTTGTGACTATTCAAAATAATTTTGATAGAAGAATGATGACGAATTCAAGTGCTACACCGACTACTACCGCGGATTGTAATACGACGACGACGATGACGACCCCTGTAAATCTTCCCCCATCTGGACGTGGCGATGGTGACAACGCTGTTCCAATTTGGACATCCACCCCTCCGACCCCATCCACACCAAGAGTTCAGTTTACCGGAACGGAGATTGATGATCATTTGGATAAGTTGTTGGAATGCCCGGTAAGATTTTCATATGATAAAATGTACTAGGTGGAGTGGTACATGATCTTCATTTTTAGGTGTGCTATGACGTCATTTTGCCCCCAATCATCTCCTGCTGTCGGGGTCATAGCTGTTGCGAAACGTGTCGGGCGTCGGTCCACAAATGTCCGATTTGTCGCGGTGAATTTTCCAATGTGCGGAACCTCTTTGCTGAACAGTTTCTGGAGAAGTGTCAATTCAAGTGTAAGCATGGGTGCACGGTCTGCCTTCCAGGTGAGTCAGTTGCAAGATCATTGGCGGCGGAATTTCTGGGGGGATGCGGGGGCATTGTCCCCCCGGGAAAATCCTAATAAGTCCCCCCCTCTCCTCCCACGTCACAATGTTAATGTCCCCACATGTCCCCCCAACTTCCTCCCCCACTATTTAAAACATTGCAATAAGCTATGTCTAAACTCGACCTCATTTCTTCCAGCCAAAGACTTGACAACACATTACCAGACTGAATGTTACTTCCGGTACGAATATTTTCATATGCTATGCTATGCTTGTTATGCAAATATGGTGTGAATTAAGTATTATGTATGTATTTGTTTGGGTCTACTTTTTAGACCAATTCTCTGCCGAGAATGCGATCGGATGATCCCATTTGACGATTTTCTCCAACATATTGAACTCGTGGACAAGTTGGAACGGCAAAAAGCTTCCGAGTGTAGTACTGGATTTGAAATTGATGAGGCAGATTTGGCTGCAAGTGAGTTGTGCTACAAATCCAGCAAGACTTAATATATTTAATTATAATTTAATTATTTAATTATATATTCAATTATATTTAATTTGTGAATATTAATTAATTCAGATCCGGTATCTCCCGTGGGACGAAGGGTGACGGTGTGGGAGCCGACTTGGATGCATTGTTACGGCGAAGACTATTTTTGTTCTTTGGACTTTAATGGGGAACATTGGTGGATTTGGGTCTCCTCTCTGAATGAAAGTGGCAAGAAACACAAGAGCCAAATAATCCTTTGGAGCAAGCAGAAGGTAAATATACACATTAACTTTCGGCAATGTTTCGGGTGCAAGTGATCACTTGCAAGAAAGTGGTTTCTTGTAGCTACTTTGACCTGCAAGAAATGAACGGCGCAAGAAACTACGCCCCGCCGCTATACTTCATACGGCGCGTGGCTGGATGACGCATATTTCTTGCACTTTCTCCCAGTTTCTTGCACTTTGCATTTCTTGCCTTTCTTACTTTGCCGTACAAGAAATGTAGCAAACCCGCAAGAAACGAAACATTGAAAGTATTCATTTCGAGTTCGCATCGTTAGCAAAAACTAAAGTTTGCAAAACACTTTTGCTTGAAAATTCATTTCCGAACTTGCGCTTCTAGTATGTATTTGCTACGCAAAATATTTTAAAATTTGTGTTGTGATGAGAACATGCGAATTCGAATGAATATCCTGTCCAGCACATCTTCACCTAATATTTGTACTTATCCGTGACCTCTATATCTTTTAGGAGTCTGAGCACACTTACTTTGGAACAATCCATTCCATCCGAACCAAACCGGATGACGTCCTCCAGTCCGGAGAATGTCTCATCCTTACCGAGAAGACCGTCAAGAACTTCATGTACTCGGGAGGAATCGATGTCCTGGTCCGGATCGAGCAGAAATACGTGGTTCCCAAGACGCGGCGTGGGGTCGATGTGCAATCTCCGCTAGAAATCATGAAGAGCCCTTCAAGCAGAACTCAACGGCTTCGGACGACTGGTCAACAATCCTCCAATCCAACGTCTGATCGAGGTGTGCTACAAACTGCGACTTTTTACTTGGCGCAGGCATATTTTCATCGCAGAGATCACGCACAATGTCAGTGTTCCATTAATTCTTGGGCGAGTAGGATTTTGTCCAGCCGTTTTGCCACTAATTTTTGGGCATGTTTTATCCTTGAGACTTTAATGGGGGGGAAAATGGGGTGGGAAAAAATGTTGTGATGCTTACATAAGGATGCAACTTATGAATAATAAATGACAGAAAATATTATATGTACATATAATGCGGGGATTCATGAGATTCGTAAACCTTGCAAATTCGTTAGCTTGCGAAATTGTCCTTGTGAGTGAACGACTTAATTTTAAATTACTCGCAAATTCAGCATTATCTTAATCTCTGTCTCGAATTTTAAAATGTGTAGTTTTTATTTCAACTGGAATTTGTAGATTTTTGATGTTAGTTAAGTGAGAACAAGCAAGATTCGAAATTTGGGGAGCCTTGGAGCTGCGTAAACTTCGCATAAAAAATTGTATGCATTTGCTGCGCAAAAATTCCTGATAGTTCGCAAGCTTGTTTTGCGAATTATAAAATTTACAAAAAAACTGAGTTTCTTTATTAAATCTTAGTAAATCTTAGTGCGAATTATACGAAACTCTCATGAATCCCCTAATTATTTAATTATTTGCATAAATATTTGCGCTAATTGCCGATTTATTTTATTTCAATTAGATGATCAGCTTGTTACCCCGACTCGTTCCACGTTCCGACCCTCAAGTCTGCGGTCAGAGAGCAGAATTCCAATACTGAATCCTCCCCAGACCGGAATTACAGCAGGAGGGGAAACTTCTGACGACGACGGCACCACGTCCAACACGGCTCGAAGAGTGCTGTTCAACGATATCACGACGATACCGTCGAGAGGAGCGGGCGTGTCGGGGACGGCGGGCGACATGCGGTTCCGAATTGGGCGTGGGTATCGACACCGGTACCAACTTCGAAGCCAACCCGAGACGGTCACCATTCCAGAGGAATGATGGCAAACGGGACATCGTATTTCGTCGTAAATCTGATTAAAATATGGGGTTAAAAACTAAGTGATTACCGTACAAGGTAGAATTAGGGCCCTTAAATATGCATGTAGCTTGAACTAACTAGTCTGAATCATTGCTAAAACTTGTATATAAAATGTAAATATGTATATGACCAGGTAAGAAAAATATGAAATTAATGTCAAACTGTGCGTTCTGTATGTGTATCTATCCGAAAATAAATTATCGCAACTACACATTTGCATATGTACAACGTCTCCAATTATCTATGTTCTCAGTGTTTCGGGTGAAAGTTACCACGTGCAAGAAATAAGGGCAAGCACGTGGTTTCTTGCAGGTACTATTTTGACCTGCAAGAAATGCGAGGCGCGAGAAACTACGTCGCGGCGCTGTATTTCGTACGGCGCGTGGCTGGATGGCGCATATTTCGTGCATTTTCTCCCAGTTTCTTGCACCTCGCATTTCTTGCGTTGCTTGCTTTCCAGTGCAAGAAATGTAGCAAGTGTTATAGTTTGATTTACATATATTTCCTTTAATATTCAGCTTCATTACAACATTTTCTATCTATTTTTATCCCTTATCTATCGTCCCCTCTGGTCAAATGCTCTAGATTCCAGCATAATTCTAGGGTAGTCGATACGTTGCGGGGTGCTTGGTCGGCTTTGGTGGCTGGTGCAGGCTTCGCAAGAAAATAAACTGCCAATCGGGCTGAAAGCTTTTCTCATTACTTGGCCAATTTTCCGAAATTTTGGTTTCACTTTTACGCTGTAAAGGACCCTGATAAGTATGGCAAAGCTCTGATATGATTTAAGTTATGCAAATGAGGCTTACATAAAACTATGGTAGGCGGAGGTAGAGTTGGTACGAATTTGACTAACTACCCCGGTGGGAGATGTGGTTAAGGTAGCGTCCACGGTGGGGACGGCGACCCAGCCTTTGTACAAATTCGCTTCGGCAGGGTTCAAATTGACGTCGGAATTTCCCCCGTGAGACGTTGGGAACCGTGTGAATACGGAGGACGGATAGCGAGATCTACATATTTGCATATTTATGTATGTGAGAGAATGTTCTTGTAAAGTACAAAAGTTAACGTAGGATTCGATGACTTGTCACAAAATTCGTCAAAATCAACACATTTTTGATCATTTCTCAGCTCTGGGAATTTATTTTAAAATTCTGAACGACAAATTTGTAGTCGGTGAGTTGATTGATGGAATGGAGGTGAGTTTTTTTGGGCCAGTTTCGAAAAGTCAGGGTTCTTAAACTTGAGATCTCCTCCTCCCTCAAAATCTAGAGTGTGTATTTCTAAAAAATTGACTACCCCTAGCTCTACAAATTTCCAGAATTTTAAAATAAATTCCCAGAGCGGAGAAATAATTAAAAACGGGGTGATTTTGAAGATTTTTTGGGATTTAAGTCATCAAGTCCTACGTTATGGAAATTTTGAGTTACTCGTCCGCCGTAAGTTGAATCTTGAGTAGTTTTGGGCGTTGAGCAAAAATGAAACTCATGTGAAGAGATTCTTCACTGTTTGAGCTGGATCGAGAGTTATCGTTGGAGGCATTCTGCTGCGATAAGGCCGTCACGGCATGGCGACGTTTCTTCCTCACGCGAGAACTTGGTTTGCGTAAATCGGCAGCAATATCCGTCTTGCTGCAATCTCGAACTGATGTGGTTTCAGAGCGACCGACGCAATCCTCATTTCCGTTCGTGATGTCAGACTCGCTCACTTTGTGCTCCAGGATTAAATCGTGACACGGAACGTCTATGTTATAAGCTGTTGCTAATTTAAAAGCTAATAAGAATGGAGGTCTCCCAGTGTATGCTCTTCGATTTTGAGCAAACTAGTGTCAATCGATTGCAAATTTAATTAGTATGAAATTTGCAAAAGGTACGATCTCCCAATGGGCACGTTTGGCAGAGATATTTGCATCTGAAGAGGAAAAAACGGCCCTTAAAGTCGACAAATTTTACACTTTCCAAATTTACTGTGCGTTTTCTCCTCTTTGGATGCAAATATCTCTGCCAAACGTGCTCATTAGGAGATCGTGTCTTTTGCAAATTTCCTACTAATTAAATTTGTGATCGATTGACACTATTAATAATTTGGCCAAAAATCGTAGAGCATACGCTGGGGGACCTCCATTTTTTGATAGGAATAATAAAAATAACATAATGTAAATTCACACCTTCAATTTTTCCCTCTAAAGTTTCTACATCATTTGTCACAGCTTCCAGTGGAACGTTAATGACGTTGTCGTTATTATTAATTTCTGCAATTATGGCCGTGTCGACTATTACTTCATTTCCGGCGTCGAGACCTTCTGGTTCAGCGACGCCGGGTGACGAGGAGATTTCTTCACCGGGTATTTCTTCCGTCAATATGTCGTCACCATTGGAAAAATTATTGGTGCAAATTGAGTCATTATTTTCAAGCTCGTTTGCATTGAGGTCCAATTTCGGATCCGTGTCGTCATTACTTTCTAAATTCCTACAAATCAGAGATCATCTCAATCTCAGATATACCACACCACGCCTACAATAAAACAGGATTTATTTTGTACTTGTGAGACGTTAGGTCAACCGCATTAAGATATCTGCATATTCTAGTTGTCAACTTTTCCAACTTTAAATGAAACGAGGCACTTTTACACTTGTCAAGTGTGAAGACCTGAAATATGTCAGAAGTTTGTTTCAAATGCCTTACCCTCATTTACATAATATATTCTTATTGTTTATATGTATTTACGACCTCTGCTCTGCACATGTCTTCACAATATGACTTCAAATGAGGGGGAGAAATACAGCTTTGATCTTCTAAATTGATAATGATAACTTTTCCGGTTTTAGCCCTGATTTTTGTCTCGATAATTGCTAGCAAAAGGCTCTTGTATGCTGTCTCAGACTCCATTTCAGGAATTTGTTTGGTACATCCTTTCATTATGTTGATTGCCTGAAGATCTGCGAGTAGTCCGGGGATCCCGATGATGTAGGAGCATAGTTTGTGAGTTAGTAGTTTGACCTGGATTTATAAATGTAAATATGTACTTAAAGTAGGAGACAGTATTACCAAAAATTTGCTATTTTTCTGTAGCCGAACCTTTAACTCTTTGGAGGCAGAAAGCTTTGTCGGACTTTCTCCAGAGGAATCCTTGTTAACGGAAAAGTCGCGTATGATTACGACCATGTGCTTCTTTAGTGGGAGAGGAGATTCATTTCTGTAAAATTTTATAGGGATTTATTATTTTTGAAATTTGTTTTTTTCTCTCAACGGAGAACGAAGGTCTCTCAGCGTATGCCCTCCGATTTCGGGCAAATTAGTGTGAATCGATCACAAATTTAATTAGTGTAAAATTTGCAAAAGGCACGATCTCCCAATGGGCACGTTTGGCAGAGATTTTTGCATCCGAAGAGATGAAAACGCTAAGTAAATGTGGAAAGCGTAAAATTTGTGAACTTTGGAGCACGTTTTCTCCTCTTCGGATGCAAATATCTCGGCCAAACGTGCCCATTGGGAGATCGTGCCATTCGCAAATTTCATATTAATTAAATTTGTGACCGATTGGCACTAGTTTTTACCCAAAATCGGAGAGCATACGCTGGGAGACCTCCATCTGCAGTTATTAACTCACATATCCTCTTTATCCACAAGAAATTTATTGCTTGCTCTTGGCGCAGAGACCACTTTCCTCGCTTCATTGACACAGATGAAGAGATTGTTTTCGCTATAATTTTGAACGCATTTAATTTGAATGATACAAATTATACAGATAAATACGTCTTAAAATAGGGTTTTACTCCATCTCAAAAACGGAAGAATCATCGTCCGAGCGGTGCTGTATGTCTGAGACGGAAATGTGATCTACAGGTTTCGCAAGGAATTTACTCTTCTTGCCGGTTTTCTTCGGATGTTTCGCCTTCTTTGATGTGGTTGCTGAAGGGGCATCATCGTCAGGATTCATGGCGTTAAGAGGCGTGCTACTTGGGGGGAAGGGACGTGACTATTTATATTCTAGTGTGTAAGGACACGTGAAAATCTGGTCATTTATTTGTCTATGAATTTCCATGTTCCCGTTCAGAATCTCCATAACGCTTAAATTTTGTGAATCATAGGTCTTGACTGGAATGACGTAACTAAAGTAAATGAAGTCAAATGTGTACCAAAGATATGGTAAAATCCACACTTTTATGAAATATAAAACTTTAAAGTGCATTCGAAAAGTGACACCGACGTGTTTATTTTCTGCTCGCGTTCCTCCATGCATTCATTGATTTATTTATCACGTTATTTGCTCGTGATCAGTGATCAAACATGTATTTATTTACTAACAGATTAGTTTTATGCATTTGCCATTTGCCAATATGGCCGTTATATGTAAATGTAGATCTAGCAACGAATTTAATTTCGCATCACCCAACTTTTTTGCTGTAGTTATCAGCAGCAGCAATGTTGTGGTGCTTGTTTTAATTATCAAGTTAAGCACAGCAGTGTTATTAACACGCAAGCAAACTGAGAACATTATCAACTCTCCAGAAACCTGATTATAATACTTAGGAGACAGACGATACATAGGATAAGGAAACATCGGACGGATAGTTTAATACAAGTTTGGCTTTGATTTATACTGACTAGGTCCAGTCTGTGTCCAAAAACTTGTTCGCGAGAGATGCAAGTCTATTAAAGTGCATTCACTTTTCTGATATTTTACATTACAGCGTTGGTTGTCTCATCAATGGACACCGTAAACAAAAACAGAACGAGAAATGTGAGACTCCTTTTTGAGAAGAAATTACATAAAGGCGACGACATAAACTTGATTGCTTTGTGCTTTGCATTCGTACATATTTATGTATTCACACCAGTCCGATATAGATAACTCAACCTTTGACAACATACATGTCGAGTTGAACAAACTTTAATAGCATTATCAACCAGTGTAAAATGTTTAAGATGATCTTTGTTTGCTTTTTGGCAAGATGGGTTTGTAGCCTTCAGATAATTATTGTACCAAGTTAGTTGGCTTCATGAGTTGACCGTGTTATCTGTAAAAGCAAGACGTTTGATACGTATTTACATATTTACATACGACTTATTTAGGATTAATTTAGTACACTGTTGGCACTAGAAAGAGACGCACATGTTGTTGGGTTTGCTTGCTTGGTCAGCAAAGATCTAACTTTAATTTGGTCTTGACATTGACAAATTCAGCTCCAGATTTACCCAAAAATGGGTGATGCAAGGATTGGTGGATCTTTCTCAGAGGACGTTCCCACGGCCTGGGCGAAATCACATCATCACAGATTTGAGCAACTATTGGACACCGGATTCTTATCAGATTTGCAAATATGCGTCGGGGAGAAAGTTTTCCATGCGCATAAAATCATTGTGGCGACGGGATCTAAGATTTTGTATGAAAAAGTTTGTAAAAACGAGTCGGGAAAGTATATCGTTCAGGAGGATGTAGATCCTGTAATTTTCCATGCTTTTCTCAAGGTATAAAAGTCATATTGTTGTATTAATTTGTTGAGATATTATTGTATTAAGAAGGATGTTCAGTTTCTGTATACAGGATTGACCTATGACCTGAAGATGCGACATGCCCTTCCACTCTTGAAGTTGGCTGTTTCTTATCAAGTGATAGATTTGGAAGAGAAGTGTCGCTCCATGTTGAATGAGGACTTGACGGATGAGACGGCGATTGAGATTTATCAACAAGCTGCGCATTACAGGGAGGATGACTTGATGGAGAAAGCGCTTTGGTACATCTGCAGGTAAGGCGTATGTATGTACAAAAGCGTTAATGTAGGACTCGGTAACTAGTGGCCAAATTAGCACATTTTTAATCATTTCTGAGCTCTGGGAATTTATTTTAAAATTCTGGACGACAAATTTGTAGAACAGGGAGGGAGTTGCCAATTAAAAAAAATATACACTCCAGATTTTGACAATTTTTGAAGGATGAGATCTCAAGTTTAAGAAGCCTTCAGAAAAATTGGAACTCGTAGAAACTTGGACTTAAAATACTCACCAGCATTCTACTCATCAAATTACTTACTACAAATTTGTCCCCCAGAATTTTAAAATAAATTTCCACAACCGAAAAATAATTAAAAAATGTGCTAGTCCTACGCTAAATATAAAATATGTACCAATTTTCCTCGTAATTGACCTGATGATGATAATTGACGGACAGGAATGCTTGGAGCATTGTTGAATCGAATGACTTCACAAATCTAACCGTTGAAAATTTGACGCGACTTTTACGCTCTGAGAAACTCCTTGTTCTTAACGAAACTCAATTGGTTCGAGGACTTTTCAGGTGATTGTTTTTTTTTCCTGAATTTTGCACGAATTTAAATAATTCACCAAAAATAACTACGCATAAAAATAGTTGGGCCAAGAAAGAATGCGGTCGACGAAAGGAAAAAAATATGTCTGTGGAACGACTTGTGGTTGAGTTATCTCGCTGGATATGCTGGGACAGGATTGACCCTGACAAGTGCGAAGGCTCGGATTCGGTTCAGTTGAAAAAATTGGTATTTTATTTTTGAAAAAATTTACAAAAATAAAATTTTTACGCCATTTGTCCTTATTTTAATTTAGTACAACGATTATCACACGCTGGGAGATGATAACATATTAAGTCCCAAACGGAAATGCAAATTTACTCGGAAATACTTTGAAGATGACGATAGTTCTTATTTGATCAGCAGATTTCCTCAGAAATTTGCGTACTGCACTGATAACAGGAATGCCGACCCAGAAATTGTCAAGTATGAGTATTAAATATTTCCAAAACTTGGTATTGATAATTTTTTATCTGAAATTCTCATCCAGATTTAAAACGGATATCACAATTTGCCTCTTGAGTATCGGAATTCCAGCGTATTCTCAAACCTGCCAAGATTTTCATAATGTGAAACTCGAAATTTGGGAAGATGTAGATGACACAAAATCCGATGGAAAAATTGTTATTTCGGAGAAAGTCCCCCACTCTAAAAACATGCATCATCTGAACATCGAAAAACCTTATAAAATCCGGAAAGACACGTGGTACTGCGTATCTGGGACAATTACTGTACGTAGTTATTAATTAATGCGTGTATATTTTGGGTACTTATCTTCTCTCTTATCGAACAGGGCACTCCTGGCTATGGAAATATGGGAGGAAAAAGTGTTCATCACGTGAAATGCAGCTATCCCAACGGAGGAGAAGCAAATGTCAAGTTTGAATTTAAATCGGGGGGAGGAGGACGTGACGAAATTGGACAAATTGACGAATTTTGTTTCAAATTGGTGGAACATTAGAAACTCATCATATATTTCAACTTATATATTTAACAATTTAGCATATGAGTATTGCCTTACTTATCGATTTGCTTATCAATCTATTAAAATACTATATTTATTTATAAATAAGTTGTAAATACAGTTTTGAACATTTTTAATTATAATAAAATAAATTCCATGCAAAATTGAAATTGCATGAATTTGAGTAGAAGGACTAAATCTTGCGCACGGCAATTGCCCAATTCTGCATGAACATCAAATCTCAAAGTCGTCGCCAACTTTATATACGAAAAAAAGTGCTCCGAAATTGCACATCCAAACCAAAAACCAAACCTCATTTTATATAATTTCACTTTCAGTTCTTGTTTGCATAAATATTACGCAAAGTAATTAACTTACTGTTCGGAAATTACTAATTATTGACTGTTTTGCTGAGTGTGCAGATTGGACTATGTATTGGACATCCGTGAAGTGATTGTATAGTGACTGACTAATTAATTGAATAAGTTTAGTTTTGCTCTTTTTTCACTGACTAGTATCAGTTTATTAATTTAATTTAATTAATTAGAAAATATAGTACATTAGAGTTAGTTAGCGAGAACAGGTGGGTATTTTTTTCTAGTTGTCATTAATTTAAAGGGTGAATAATTTGTAATCATCCTGCACTAATTAATTTTATTGTTTCAAGGACAAGGATGTCGTTCCGCCGACCAAAGAAACCCATCCGACCTCGGGTGGTTGCTTTAACAGCGGATTCGGATGAGGACGAGCCTATGCAAGTAGATTCGCCGCCCCCTCCACCAGTTTCGACGAAAGAAAGAAGCAATAATGGTCAAGTTGGTAGCAAGCTGTCATTCGACAACGACGAAGCGATCAGCTTCAACAAGCCTTCAAAAAGCAAGAAAGGGGAAAAATCCTCCTCCAAGGCGGCCGCCCTCCTCAGTTTTGACGACGACTTGGATGGGGAGGAAGAAGGAGAAGTCTTTCAAGTAAAAAAGTCATCCGTTTCAAGGCGCCTAATGAAACAGAGGGACAAGGAAAAGAAGGGAACTTCTTCGTCATCATCGTCTAAATCCAAGAATCCTTTCGGTTCCTCGACCAATCAGGAGGAAAATTCGACGAAATTGAAACTCCAAGTGGACGGGTTTGTTGCCCAGCTAAAAATAAAGAAGGAGCCAAACGAGGAAAATGTGAAACCAGTGATAAAACTGGAGAAAGATTCCATCCGTGTTTTGAACGGGAGAGAGGCTGAAGCCCTTCACATGGAGTCGGATGATGACAATGAAGACGACGACAACGAAGAGAACGGAAGTGCAAGTTATGGACATAAATTTCGAAGACCGGCGGCCGGTGGTGGAGCCGCAATTCATGATGCGGTTCGCAGAGCACTAGCACAAGGTCAAATTCCGGACGCTAATCTTATCCATGAGGCGAGAAAGAGGAAACAGATGGCTCGTGAGATGGGGGGTGGAGCAGGGCCTGAGTTTGTCCCGGTGGATAATGTCGACAGGTATGTATATCTGCCAGCATTAATTTATTAATTTGATATCTTTAATAGTAAATGATTGATAATTTGTCTATAAAGATTGAAGAAGGAGAAAGGAAGACTCGTTCGCGAAGATGATGACAACGATCAAAGTGACGAAGAGCGCCTGGATTTTTCATCCGCTACGAATGCTGCTAAAATTGATAGGGATAAAAGAATTGAAGATTTCCAAGCAGCTCAAGTTGAAGGTATGATGCACTTCGAATGTATTTAAATATAGTTAAATGTTCTTTAACTGACCGTTTGTAAACTTTTTCATACAGGATCAGACAACGATTCTGACGGTGAACTCGACGAATGGGAATCCCAGCAAATTCGTAAAGGAGTGTCTCAAGCAAAGGTTAGTTGAATTTAATAATTTTCTGCAATTTATTTGAAAAATTATTATTTACAAATAATTTTTTTTTAATTTCAGATGCACAATGTGGCAAAAGAAATTCTTCATCAAGGTTATCTTGATACTGGGTCTTCACAACTTTCCTATTATAATAATAATTCAGATGTACCCACTGGCTTCTCGTTCTACCCACCTGTTCAAAATTCAGAACCAAAGAAGAAAGGAAAGACTCAAGCGTTTGTTGAACAGACCCAAAAAATTGCAAGTATTGAAGAAATTGTGGGCGGAAGCAAGAAAATAACTCCTGAACTGATTTTGAAGCAGATGTCAGATAGGTAAAAATTTCAGAGAACTTAAACTTATCCATCATCTCAATGTTACTACTTGTAAACTAATTCATTTTTGTTTTTGACTAGATTACAAAGGCTAAAATTTTCTCGAGATCGTAATGCGGGTGAATTGAGTCGTGTCCTGGCGGATTTACAACTTGCAGAAAAGGAATTGAACGAGGCGACGGACGTCAAATCTGATCTAAATTCGCGATTCATTTTGTACCAGAATCTAAAAGGGTAGGTTTATCAGCATGGTCGAAATTCTCGCTGAAATCTGACCTAATCAATTGTCCTAGAAATTTGCCGTACAATCCCGCAGATTTCAGCGAGAGTTTGCATCATTAAATTACACGTTTCGATGAATTATATCGATAAATATTACTTCTTTCTCACATAATTACTTTTGATTGTAGGTATGTCACTGACTTGGTAGACTGTCTGCGTTGTAAGGTAAGGTAGATAGATGATTATTATCGCCCCAATGCCTCCACATCTTAACTTCAAATGATACCTGATTATAGCTGATTAATGATTCAACTAGCGGCGAATTTCATAAAATTTGTAACCAAATAGTGGACTGGTCAAACAGAGTAGCGCGTGATAATCGTTCGCTTTATGTGTATACATAATTATTGTCTGCATAATCTTTGGTTATTTAATCATGCCAAGAAGTTTCCAAACCTTTAATAATCATTAATTTATTACGCGAGCATGGGCATCGTACCAGTCTGTGGGTCAGAATTTAATACATTTTCTTTTTATAGGTTCCCGAGGTCGAGAACTTGGAGCAACGGATGCTCGACTTGATGAAATCACGACGAGAGAAATTTGCCGAGCGGAGGAGACAAGACGTCAGAGATCAGACTGAAGAAGTAGCTGCCACGATTAATATCATGGGCAATGTACCTGTCACAAAACCACCGCCCAGTAATCCTGAGCGAACTCGAAGAGCTGCCGAACGAGAAGGACGTCGCACAAGGAGGAGAAGATTAAGGGAAAAAGAAATGCAGCCAGGAATGCCACGCAAGGACGGTCTGAGTTCGGATGACGAAGAACCAGACATTGAATTTAAGGCACATTACGCTGCGAGAGGTAAGTCGTCCAAATATTTGCATTCATAGCCAGCATTCCTGCAAATTCTGTTATCTATTTATTCCAGAAAACATTGTTGGTTGCACGGAATCAATCTTTGAAGATGTTCACGAAGATTTTGGAACGATGACAGGGATTCTTTCTCGATTTGAAGAATGGAGAGAAAATGATTTCGATGCTTACAAGGAATCCTATGCATACATGTGTTTGCCAAAGTGTGTTGCTCCACTTACAAGAGTACAGTTGATTGCGTGGGACCCTTTACGAGTATGTTTACATAACTGTTTTAAATAATAATAAGAGGATTTGTTAATAACCATAATAATATTTTGTAGGAGGGATGTGACTTTTTAAAGCAGCCTTGGATGAAGTCTCTAATTTCATACTCGTATCGTCAAGGAGAGTCAATTGAGGAGTTGAGCAAAGATCCGGATTCCAGACTGGTTCCGTCTGTCGTGGAGAAAGTGGTTCTTCCTTGGATTGGACGTGAGTATAATGGATGGCTTGGTGTCAATGTTCATGATATTAAAGTACACAATTAATCGTTCAGGAATCGTGGAGGCTCGATGGGATCCAATGTCTGGATGTCAAACTCGAGGACTAGTTAACGTGCTCAAACGACTTATTGACGAATATTCCATAAGTCCAAATAGTAAGCCGATGCATTCAGTGTTGGAGATAGTCGTGACACGTTTGAAGGACTCCTTGGAGAATGATGTGTATGTGCCTATCTATGCTAAATCGTAAGTTGCAATCCATTTTATTACTATTTTTTCATGTAATCCTTTCTAATGTATTTGTTGCTGTTTCCAGAGCTTTGGCAAATAGCTTTACTCCAGCGAGTGTATTCGTATCTCGACAATTTTGGTCTAGTGTCAAGTTGTTGGATAATATGAGCAAGTGGCAAGGGCTTCTTAGCGACCGACCTCTTCAGGCCCTTGCGTTGGACGCATTACTGACGAGATACACGATATTGGGGATTCGAGTAGCGTCAGAATTGTCAGAAAGTGTGGAACGTGCAAAAGGGGTAACAATTTTTTTTTGTATTTGGATTTGCTAATCAGCCACATTCAAATTAAATTGCACTTTATGTTACATGTTAATATTTTTGTCAGGCTGTCAATGTACTTCCTCGGGCGTGGCTTTCTCGCGAGAATGAAACAGACATCCCTAATGGACTACAGCAACTGTGTCGATGCTTAGTTTCCCAAGTTCAATCAACTGATTGTACAGTTGCTGCAAATAGGTATAGTTAATAGTTATTATAACGTCATTAAAAGTAAACTTGATTAGCATAATATCCAATTAACTTGTTTCTTCTTTTGCAGAATTGCCATTCCTGAAATATCCAATATTCTAAAAACTATCGGATGTAATGAAGAAGCTACACTAATTCTACGAAAGTATTCTTAACAGGACATATTCCCCTTATTGACGATAAATAATAAGACTATAAAATATTTGTTTCCCTATTATTATAAATGTAGCTTGCCTGATCAAATGTCAACTTTTTGAAATAAAGTTATAAATTATACAGAATTGTAATCCAACATAATTTGAAAATATGATCACAAAAAGTACAAATCTGTATATTCCGGATTCAAGTATTTCATAGAAATCCACACATTTTATTTCATCGAGTCGACTCGGTTCCCAAAACAGAAGATCGGGGACACTACGGAATTCTCTTAAAAGGCTCGCTCGACTTTTTCCTTGAATGATACGAAGAGTAGCTACACGGTCAGTCAGTGTTGCATTCTTCTATACTTTCTCCACCACTCCCTCCCTCCTCATGAATAGCGTCGCTTTTTTCCATTTGTACATATCCATACATACGTTATGCATGAGGCGGACGCTGAATTTAAGGGATTGAATGAATACGATGAAAGTTAGCACATGCAAATTTACTTTTTCCGTATCTATCAACTTTACAACTCTCCGTTATCTTCATTTCCTCCCTCCAGTCCACTATCTGGCAGAGTTCCACTACTCGAAACTATTTGATCACCCAGCCACCCATCCATCCATCCAGAGAAGAATCCCAGCTTTGTCATTGCTTCCTATTGTTTAGCCTCCCCACTTCACTTCACTTCTTCCCCTGCAGAAGAAGAAGATGAAGAGCGAAGCATCCAACCACGTTTCTCTGTTTTGTTAAACAACAACTTCCTTCCAGAAGAAGAAGAGGAGAGAAGAGAGAGTGAAAGCAGCTTTCACCACCAAACCAACACACATATTTATTGGGGGAAAGTCTATACGGTATGGTACCCTCTTTCTCTTCTCACGGGTAAAGTTACTACCCGCAACAACACAGCGTTTTCTCCTCTCTTCTTACGACGAGGACGACCATATCATCACAATACCATTCTTTCTTCGCCTTTTGCGTTATGTTGCTGAACGAAGGAACGAACCCGTGAAACTTTTGTTGGCAGAGGAATACTGTGGAAGTTCGCTTTAACAAGGGGACATAGACCACGTCTTACCTTCTGCTTTAACACGAACTTGTATGTACGGTACGACTCATGGTCGCAAGGAACTCTTGAGAAGTTGGGAAAAAGTGATCGTGGTGTGGTAGCGAGTGAGCGAGTGAGCGTTTGTTGGCAAAATAATTCTCATCAGTCCAACTCTGTCCGTCTTCTTGGAAGGATCTCTCGCTCCGGATTTGACTTATCTACTTGCTTTCTTTCTACTTACACGGTATTTACACGGTGTGCTTTTTTGCAAGCAATTCGACTGGTGCGTGAGGAGAAGACACCTCACAGTGAAATCATCCATCCACTCACGCAATATTGATTTTACTTACCGTGGAAGAAAATAGAGTGGAATTTGGTCTGATCAAAGATATAAAAAAGCAGGACTTTATAAATTATTCAACCACTTAAAAGACTAAGAAGAAGATGCAGTAGCGAGGGAGGAAAGCGTCCAACTAAAAAAATTGACTTTATGACTCCTTCTTGAGTGGGATGCAGAGTAGATACACGTTTGGTTATCTTCCTAATAAAAAGTTATATTGACAAGTAGGTAGAGAAGAGAAAAGTAGGATTTTGCGACGAATTTTTGATCCGCATACGAAATAATGGAGTGGAAAAGTGGAGTGATTTTTATTCTATTCGTGGTAACGTTCCTCCTCATTAACACGGCTGTGGTGGAGGCAAAGAAAAAGCAGCATAAGTTCGATGGCGACTTTGAATTTGCGGATGAGGTAAGAAGTGGTATTTGCAAATTTTTTTGCGCATTAACTAATTAGGTAGGTACTAATTGTAGTTTAGTAATTGTGGGACAAATTGTTACCAAATATCGCAGAATCATTCATGTCTTCCAATGAATTTCTCTATTATTATGTCAATTTCAACGTGACATTTATGATTGCATTCCATTGTACGACCAGTGGCCGCGGAAGCTGTGGGGACATTAACATTGTAGGATGTGGGGGAGGGATGGGTTTATATAAGATGCACATCGAATACCCGTGGGGGCATTGTCCCCCCGCTTTCCGTGGCCACTGATTGTACGACAGCTAACTATGTATGTACCTAAGCGCAATTTCCTCGAAATTGCTTCTGTCCATTGAGCAAAAAATACTTGAACGTCTTCTGTACTTGGTTTCTTGCTAATATTAAATTAAGAATTTACTTATTGCTCCTGGCACCTGGCGTAAAAAAATATTTGCGAATGAAATGAATGCCACTACTACTCGCTTATTTTATTCACCCACAATAAAAGCTTATGAGGCAGAAATTATTGAGATTATTATTGTCAGAATGATTGCCATTTGGCACTTCATACTCATTTTGCTGTATGTACAGTATGAGTAAGAATATTGATTTTGATTCCAACCGTGTGGTTTAATCGGTCTGGTCTAATCAGGCATCTGGCTTGTGTATATTTACATAGAAAGAAATTCTATTCGTCCGTCCGAAAAGTTTTTTTTGTCTCCAATTCCAGGAAGTGCATTATTCTTATTCCTTTCAAGAATGAAAGAGATTTTAAATTTTGATACGGTGAGCTTATGATTAATTCTGAATTCGAGACTGTGAAATAATAATTTCTGTGATTTGTTAGTAGATTGTTACTAAATAAAAAGGTTGATTTGATAATGACCATGAACTGAGCAGTGGCCGCGGAAGCTGTGGGGACATTAACATTTTAGGAGAGGGGTTTATATGACATGGGCAGATGATGCGGACATCGAACAACCGTGGAGACTTTGTCTCGCTGTCTGCACACTTCCGCGGCCAATGGTGACGAAATGCACGATACGATTCTTCTCTTGACTTGGGCAGACTAGGAATAATGATGAGACGCAATCTAAAATTGCAGTGACAATACCATCCTTGACGTGCATTTTTGAAATGATGAGCTACATAACAATCACTCTTCACCATCATCTTGAGAGGGAGTCAAGAATGGAGTCGTCTCATAATTATAGTTAGCTCAGAGATGAATGTATGTATGTATTTAGTCTGTCGTGCATTTACCTCCACAGTCAGTGTCAAGCAGCAGGTGAACAATTTTGAATGTGTGGTGTCTGTCTAGATAAATAAACAAGGTGAAGGGTTTCGTGTCCCTTTTCTGCACGGAATTAGCACACTCTAATCTATTTATGGTTAGGTTTGAAGATCAAGTAATATTAAAACGCAGGTTAGAAATGTGTAATATGAGATCTCGTGGTCAGTGTTTCATTTCTTGCGGGTTTGCCACCCACGTTTCTTGCCCTGCAGAACAAGCCATGCAAGAAATGTGAGGTGCAAGAAACTGGGAGAAAGTGCAAGAAATATGCGTCATCTACTGCTTCATTTGCTCAGACTCCTCAGCCACGCGCGTATGAAGGAAGGAATAGCGGCGGATTTCTAGCGCCTTGCATTTCTTGCAGGTCAAAATATGTAGCTGCACGAAACCACTTTCTTGCAAGTGGTCATTAGCAGCGGAAGCAGAAGGATATTGCCCCCCCAGAAATTCAGCATAATTTTATCTTCTTCCCCATATTAATAGTCCGTCCTCCTCCAATCCCACATTGTCAATGTCCCCACATGTCCCCCCAACATCCCCCGCCCATGCTCGTGATATATTTTATTTCTTCCGTTTCTGCCCATGATGATGATGCAATTCAGTTGATTGAATTCCGTATGAGTGAGGTACGAATTTCAGTTTAGACTTTCCGTTCTCTAACCAATCCTCTCATGAAAATGTAAGCGCGGGCAGAGTTGGCTGGTGGCTCCTGTTAAATCAAAGTCGTTACTGGTATGCAAAGTCATGTAAATGTTGGTCATCAGTTATTGTGCTGAGGAGCTGGCTGTGCTGCTGTGAGCTATCTTGTTGCACCACGTATCTCGGGCAGGTTGTTCTCCCACCCACCGACCGAGGTGCATTCGGTCGGAGTTTATGATGAATAATTCATGAAGACAAATACATATTTCCAAGTGGCAGAGTGAAGTTCATTTGTTATATGGCCAGCCAGACATAAAATGTGCTCCCAATTTGTGTGGTTTGCTGACTCTGCAATCAAAACACAAGTACAACAAACAATGTTGGTTGGTTGGGCCAGAATTTCAAAGTAATTTGAAATTTGATTATTAATTTACTCACTTCACAGCAAGAAGAAGCTCCATTTTTAGGGCGTGATTGCTTATTCATTTCACTGACCGAATGGTGGAGTATCCAGATTAAAATATTAATTGCAAAGAGTTTGCAGAATGTCTAAAAGCGGAATTATTACGTGGGCACGAAACAAAACCCTTGCATTAATTCCCTGCAGAAATATCGGGTCATCTTATCCGCACATGTACAGGTTTTTTTTCTTGCGGGTTTGCTACAATTCTTGCACTGTGAAGAAAGAAATGCGAGGTGCAAAAAACTGGGAGAAATGCGAAGTGCAAAAACGGCAGCAAATGCTAAAAGGCGAGATGCAAAAAAATGCAAGAAATGCGAGGTGCAAAAAACTGGGAGAAATGCGTAGTGCAAAAAAATTCGAGAAATGCGAGGTGCAAAAACTGCAAGAAATGCGAGATGCAAAAAACTGCAAGAAATGCGGCGTACAAAAACCTGCAAGAAATTCGAAGTAAGAAAAATTGCAGGAAATGTGAGATGCAAAAAAATGCAAGAAATCCAAAGTATAAAACACTGACAACTGGGAGAAAGTGCAAGAAATATGCGCCATCAAGCCACGCGCTGTATGAACTACAGCGACGAGACATAGTTCCTTGCGCCTTGCTTTTTTTGCAGGTCAAAATCCCTACCAGAAACCATTTTTTGCCATTATTTCTTACACGTGCTTACTCCCACCCGAAACACATGTACCAAAGCAATGTCATGCGGTTCAGGTTTGATTTTTCCGACGTCCAGAATTTTTTCCATGAAAAATCGGGTATGCATCCGATTTTTAGTAAACACAGGGATTTGTATTTGCGTAATTTGTGTTATTAATGTCATAAATATATCATCCCGTATGGGGTCCTGGTTGGCAGTTGGAATTGCAAGCAGCGTTTATTACGTCGGACCAATAATGGTTCATTCCTATTTCAATCTGTCCATGGGCCAACGTGAAGTAAAGTAGAATGCAAAGGCATGTCATTATCCCACCAAGTTGGCAAAACCATTAATATGCCCAGAAAGTTTTATATTGTAGCCTTTTCCTTCGATGCCAGTAGATTAGTGAGCTGGTCATTTTAATTGAAGTGCAGAGGGTTTGCTGGTCTTACAGTGGCCGCGGAAGTTGTGGGGACATTAATTTTGTAGGATAAGGGAGGAGTGGGTTTATATGTATAAGATGGGATGGGATCGATTAACCTTGGGGGACATTGTCCCCCCTCTTCCGCGGTCACTGTGCTTTGTATGCACATGCATGGACTGGACTGGAACTTGACAGACTGTGTAATTTTTGTAAATTGCATGCCACACTAGAACTTGACGATCACACAATCGAGTATAAAACTGGTTTTGAAGCCAACAATCGTAAACTTGTCATAAGAGGAGGAGGAGATATGATAAAGCTTGCCTTGCCCAACAGTGGCCGCGGAGGGTGTGGGGACATCGTGGAGGGAGGGGTTTATATAACATGATGGGGATACTGTCCCTCCGTCCCCACGCTTCCGCGGCCACTGGCCTTCCCCAATGAATGATAGGTACCTTTCTGATACTTTAGTGCACAAGTTTAAACGCAAGTCTGGATAGATTTGGTTCTCAAAAAGCCGATGAATAACTATACATTTCATTATTTTCTGGGAAACCACCGAAGTAGAAGTCCAATATTATGCGAAAGTGGATTTGTTTGTACTCGATGCAATTTCGCGAGCCGAGCAAACCCGCATAAAGCTCCGTATACTTTCGAAAACCTCAATTTGTTCTCATTGGCCTTGGGAATGAAAGGGTTGATATAAGTAGAAAATTATATGTAGTGGTTCTATAGATGACACTGCATTCCTGAAAATGGGGAATGTTCCCAATGTGCCTGTCACAGGTAATATATCACCGAGATCAAGGTCAACATTTGCCTGGAGAAAAAATTCGGTGGAATGATCTGCGCGCGTTGGCTGGCTGGATTCTTCTGTGGTTGGATTGATCTATCCGTCCGTCCGTCCGGATTTCGGTATAGCCTTTAGTTTGATGATGGCTTTTATCGCTTTGTTCCTCACTGCATAGGAGAGAGGAGAGTCGTTAGTTAGTTCGTTAGTGGGATGGTGATGGTCATGTGAAAGTGCAGTTATATTCATAGTTCGCTAGAAATGTGCTGAAATGGATGGAGCCTTTGTGTCCAATATTGTCCGGGGAAGGCAGGATGAGACTGGGCAGGCAGAGGTGGGCAAAATATTTGGGAAAAATGAAGTATTTTTAGCTAGTTTTGGATTTTCAGGACAAAATGATGAAAATCTGTGTGAATAAGACAGAACTCATACGAAAATAGCTAATTAAATCCTACCAAAAAGCAGAGGAGGGCAATATACTTTGTAAAAATGGAGTATTTTGAGCTCGGTTCTTCCCAGGATTTGAATTTCCTAAGGCTGTTACACCCATGAAAAGACGAAAATCTGCCTGGAGAAGACAACAATCATACGAAAATACAAGTTTTCTGAAGAAATTACCTTTTTACCGCTGTCAAAATACAGTTTTCACTATGTTTTTAAGAAATAAAGTATTCTGACATTGATAAAAAGCCAATTTCTTCAGAAAACTAGTATTTTCATTTGATTATTGTCTTCTCTACAT